GCGCAAGACTAGATCAACAATCTGACACGTGAGCTTTTCCGGGATATTCGTATTCCCGTTAGATCGCAGGTGTAGCGACGGATCGGCGGCGATGTATCGAATGGCAAGTGACGGGATACGTATCGTGAAAAAAGAGTTTTTCGGCCTGTCTCGTCTCCAAACTTCTTCGTCAATAGAGTTCGCTCGTAGCACTGTTAGGATTATTTCGATTTATCAGGTGAAATGTGTGATTTATGCGATCGCAACCGTTTGCACCTTTTGCTTTCACTTGACTGTGCGCAACGTATATATACGCATATACACGTGTATTATACATTTAACGCCGCGTGGAGCAACGGTGTACGTCCGTGCGTTATTGAGCGAGAAATAGAAATGTATACATTATAAAAGCGCAGCTGCATATTATATAGGATATAGGTTTGATATGTCAATGTCTCTCGGTATGTTTAAATATTAGTTCAAACAGGACATTGCTTATCGATTTAATTTTTATTGTGTATACACTCGATGCAGCGCGCACGCAATATTATATGTATATTAGAGAAAATGATGGATTCGGACGTTTTCAAAACTCGTGTCCCGATGATTATATTCAGCGTTTATATATTATGTATGTACGCGAGATCGCAAGTAATTGACTCCGCATATATATTCGAATTGGCTGGCAATATAGCTCGGCGCACCGATCGAGCCGCGTTTATAAAAGGTTTATATATATCCTGTGGTCACTTCACGACGAATTGAATCGGCCATATATCAATCAATCATATCCACACCTTGAATTTTCTTACAAAATCGCGCGAATATACGTGTACACAAGCTCGAGCTAAGAGCCGAGCTGTCGCGACGTTTGTCGAGGCACTCTTTGATTGGGCGGAGCTTGCGAGCCGATTGGTTGACGCGATAGGCCGTAATTATCTCTCTCTCTCTCTCTCTCTCTCTCTCTCTCTCGATAAATACGCTTGCGTATGTGTCACTGTGTGTGTGCAACGCCGCAGCAGTACTGTCTCTTTCGCGCAGAAAACTTGTCCCTCTCCTTTGAGCGACACATAACGACAGGTATTATATCCAATCGGCGGTAAATGTGTATGACGGAAAACGTGCCGCGAATGACTAAGTTGCACCGGCGCACGAGCACCGCAGTATATATACAGCTTCGTAGCTGTATACAGATATATCGTCAATTATCAATAGTATATAACTTATTTATATCGGCTGCTCGCGCGGGACAATGAATCATTTTTTATTTTTATTTTGTAAACTCCGGTTATAGGCGCGATAAGTTTGTGGGAATGCGGTGAGAATCGATCGATATCGTAATAAAACACATATTTCAGGTTCCGTGTAACTGTGCGTCCTCGCGGATAATGTATAATATAATATAAAAATAACTGAATGCACCGAAATTCTCAGCTTCCTGTGTGTATACAGAAAAAACTCGGTCACATCCTGCACGAAAATCACGAAAATACCTGTCGATGCTTCTCAAAAATTTAGATGCGACGACGACGACGACGGGTAAAAGTTTCCGTTAAGAGTTGAAAGACACCCCCGCATCGCCGATCGATCAGATAGCAATCGTATAAAAACGCTCGTTTCCGTTACCGATGCTAAACAAAATTCACGTCTATATGCATCCATGTATGCAATATTGTCAATATTAACCTGCGTATTTTCTAAATGGGATAAATATGATTTGATCGAGCGCTGTTAGGCGACCTAATTTCATACGTTTTTGTATATAAACATACAGTCCCGTTCGGTGAAATCTTTTCGTGGGCGGATAAATATATACCGTATAGCGCCGAGCATAAACGCGAAGGGCTCAATCTGCGCGCGAGCTTCCTCTTATGTACACATATTATAGGAGAGCTGCGCACTGAATCATCGTCGTGAATATACATAAATGAAAGCGCGGCACGAAACAGCAGAGGGAAAAAAACGTTTATGAAAATTCGACCGCACAATTCACTTGCGCGACGGAAAAATTGTTTACTTAGGCTAATGCAAATTAGAGCACTTGCGAACCGTTGCCGGCGACCGCAACTAAAAAAAAAAAAAGAAAGAAACAACGAGACGGAATCAATTTCGCTGGACTGCGCTCACTACTGCAGCCATTATAAACGAGACTATATATGAAACAGTTCGCCGACCCTCTCGGTTGTATTAGCCGCGTACATACGTTTTACCGCGTAACGAGCTGGGCTCGTGTGCGTGGGTGGCAGATGCGCCAGCACACGATTGTGTAATTTGATTTCAACTTGTGGTGAGTGCCGTGCACGTTCGTCCTCTTCTTTACTATCGGTCGGCTCGAGCCGACAGACAAAAATTATGGATCACATTGATTTTAATCAATTATTGGTTCGATCGGCGCGTTGTAGGCCTATACCAGGAGGGTGACCCTTCGTATATCGCAAGCTTAGCACCTTATTCATTTTTCATTAGCAGCTTCGCAAAGGGTCGTTAATTCTAAGAATTATCTGCTAGCCGCCGCTGCTGCTGCTGATCTTTTTTTCTATGGGAGGTGTTGCGCGTTGCAGGTGTTGGAGCGAGCAGCGTTATTTTTTAGTTCCGACTAAAAAAGTTTGTTCACCCTCGAAACTACGAACTGTTTCAACCAAAAATCGATGCTAAGCTTCGCGACATTCGTCTCGGCTCATTAATCACGTCAAAACTAAACAGAAGAGAAAAATGCGACTGTTAACGATTTGTAATTAAACCGTAAAAATGCGCAAAGATCCGAATCTCCCCGTGGGGCGCGTGTAACAAATGGTTCGGCAAATCGAAAAATTGATTCAGTCGTGCGCGTGACATTAATTAAAGCGCGTGTATAAATATCGATAAAAATTTAAGCCGACTAGTTTCTGCACAATAATCCGTATGGCAGTATAAAGGCTCGCGTATCAAAGTCCAAGAGGCCGGCGCGTGATATGCTCAGCGAAACGGGTGTGATTGATCAATCAATAGAGAGACTGGCGCCGCACTAACGGACACACACGCGCGCGCGCAAATACGCAGGCTCGCACACATTCGCGTTGTCTGATGTATCCAGCACAGTGACGATTAAGAATAATATATATAGGGTCGACAAAGGACTCCGCGTCGAGAGGAGAGTTTCACAATATCGTGAGCAAAAGTCGGGGCTAAAAGCCAAGAAAAATCGTGATTTGTCGTTTGATATACCTGACAATCGAAAGTAAGTGTGTCAATGCTGTGGCATTTTTGCACCTAAACGCGTAAACTGAATGTGGAATTGTCGTCGTCGTCGTCGTGCGAAAACAAAAATCATCGCGCGATTTAATTGACTTATATTTCCGGGGCGACGATCGAGCGTGCGAATTTCGATCGCGCCGCGCGGCCCTTTGTAGGAAAAGCGTAAACACAACAATAAACTTACACAATATGAGCCACCGATGATCCCGAGAAAATCGAAGGCAGTGCCGCCGCGAAAATTTCGGCGAATCGATACAGGAAGGAAAAAAGAGACGAATAATCGAGGCGCAAGAGGCCAACTTATACTATTAAACACGCCGCAAACAACAGCTATTTTTTGGCCACACGCGCACGTCCGAAAAAGAGAGCCTCCTCGATCGTGCCGCTGCTGCTGTCTACTTGTTTGCGCGTCTGTCTGTGCAAGTGTATGTGTGTGCTTGTGTGCAAACATAATGACGGGGTAGCACGCGACGCGGCTCGATATATAGGTGTATACAAGCAAGGTCGGGGGCCTCTTTTAATGATTTTCACTTCACATTTTTGCGAGCGTGACGCGCTTTTTTGGCCTATTACTCGAGACAGATGCGCACGTATGTGTGTGTGTGTGTAGTGTGTTTTAGTTTGTACGCGGTGCGGACTTGGAAGAAACACCCTTCTCGTGCGCGTGTCAAGTAATAATTATTAGAAGGTGTTTCTCTCAACGTTAAAAGATAGATCGAACTCGTCTTATTTTACAATAAACCTGAAAACAATTTAAATCTTAAGTGGCCTCTGTGTATACGCCTGGAAAGGATTATTAAAGGCGCACTACGCGTGACTCGTAAAGGTGTTAAAGTGACGATGTCGATGCTCGTTTTTTTTAATACTTCTACGAGCAGTTACGAGTTTTTAATCGCTATCTAGACAGCTCCGAATAAAACGAGCGAAAAATATGAATCGCGCATAGAAAATTTATAATCGTCCATTATTTCGTAGCAGCGCGTGATGGGTGTCAAGCGGAATGCGAACAATAAACGAAAATTCGAACGCATCGGACAGCAGCGGCGACGAGCTGCCGAACTCGTACTTGCGCAATATCGTAATAATATGAAAAGCTTCTGGCGCGCGCGTGGACTCATTATCTGCATCATATTGCGCATTACATTATTACAGGATTATCGTGGTCGAGCGATCGCTTACACCACGTATTCATTTGGGGGTTAGTGTATACGAGCGTAGGCTAGAGAACGCGCACTAATACTACTCCACTATATATGCAGCGCCAATAATACACCCGAAAAAGGCCGGCGCATAATAACAGCGTCAGTGGCAGTGGCATCGGTAGCGGTGCGCGGCTCTGAAACGACATCGACAGGCCTTTTTTGTGTGGCTGTATATGTATATAGCGCAGTGCACACGAGGCACTGCAACGCAGCATTATACTTGCTCGCAAACACGCAATTACTTGTTGCTTGCGCTCGATTTCTTGCATAGTATACGTGTGCTGCGCCGCACCACACGATTGTGGCCAAAAGAATATAATCTCTGTATATATTGCGGTTGCTTTGTAACTTCTAAAAGCGAGCATAATCTTGCCTATCACATACTGGTTTTCTGCCGCTGCGTATAGCCTCGCGTACCGTATGTACAACGCGCTTATGGTATATGCGACACGTCGCAAATTAACCAAATTAATATGAGAGGATTATATGCGAATAATGGACGCGATTCCGGACTTTTTTCTTCTTTTTAATGGACGTTATACAGTGCTCGCAGATCAATTTACATAGATTATGTGGCAATGGGCTTTAGATGTAAGTGTCCAAAATTGAATCGGAAGAATTGAATCTCGAAACTGTGATCGTCTCCCGGGACGAGTGAAGCACGTCCTCCGTACTGCGGCCGAGCCGAGACTTGCGCAAAATTTCTCGCTCTATCTTCCAGTTGTTCCAGAATCGTTCCAGCTCGACGCGCACGTGGTGATTCGTGAAGCAGTACAGAGTCGACACTATGCATCCCTGCAATTATTTTTTATAACGCATTGTGATAAAAATAAATTTAATAGCTCAAAGTAAAGTGGCGAAACAAAATTGTTACCTGAAAAGCGCATATGAATCGAGCCAATGACAGAAATATCAATCTTATCAGGAGATTTTTAAACCACGGCCAAATTGCGTAAAATATATTGTAAGAGCCAAAAAGAGGTACGAGCATCATCGATGCCTTGATCCATTTCCAGTACATCATTCTCGTTGCGTTGCAGTAAGTTTTTTTCATTTGAAAGTACATAAATCTTACATTGTAGAGAAAAAGACCGCATTCCATCTAAAATAATATGACGATTTTTTATGCAAATGTAGTAACGAAGATAAGTCAAAAATATTAGTTTTACCATAATGATTAGCAATATTGGTACAGCAATGTAGAAAATATGTTCGTCGCTGTCGATCCAACAATAATTCTGGGTTGTGTTGAGCAAGTAAGTGATGAACCATGGCATGAGGGAAAAGATTGGCAATCCTGTAAAAAATCCAAAACTAAATTACCATTTTTATGAATTAAATGAGAATCGAGGAAAATGTTACCCCAGCCAATCCAGTAGTAGCCCCGCATCGAAATGCTATCGAAGGGAGAACGAGATATGTAAGAGTAGAAGTACCAGCCCTCGAGAAAGAGCCAAGTGTAGATCGAGATTTCCGTGTAATGACCCATGGTTACCAGTGCGCGGCAAAAGTTTGACTGGAAAATCCAACGAATTAATTGCGATGCGTGAGTCATTGATAAGAAATTGTATAATTACATATTCGTGGGTTGATTCAGACGAGCCGAAGAGCAGCAGATAAAAAACTTCGCAGGTGTAGAGGCTATTTTGTACGAGAGCCGCAACGCTACGTAGGAGCATGGCGACAAAAAGATTCGCGTGTATCTTCACTCGGTCTTCTCGAAGGTGCCTGTAAACGTAAATAAAATTTTTTGTATGAAAAATCAATTATCGCGGAGGCAATGTTCTGTATACTCACTTGAATCTGAAGAAAATGAAAAGAGCTACCAGCAAGAAAAATGTCGATAGCGCATACCCTACTTGATCGAGTATCGACAGATAAACATACGTATTCTGAAAACAAAAAATCAATAAACAAAGCGTTCGAAAATTAGGAACTTCGCTCCAAATTACTCACGTCGACTCCAAAGTCTTCGGGATTGTGATGAACCAGTCCAAAGAGATAGAGCGCGTCGTTTCCATTGCGCGCAGCCTCGGATTTCAACACGGCGCAGTCGTGATTGACGGGCACCGACCACAAGGCGCGCATCAAATGCAACTGGTCGTCGGCCGTGTCGTTGTGCATCGTCGCCGCCGCCACCGTCGAGGAGGGCATGCACTCGCGAGTCAACGTTCTGTTGGCGTAATACGGTATGGGGCACGGCAGCTTGGCCGCACTGTCGATCGGAGTCGACGGCCAGCAGTGCTTACCGTCGAAATGCGGCGGACACTCGTTCCGGTTGCTTTTGACTTGAGGCACACCAGAGCGTTAGCGAAAAAATTAGTCTATCGAACTTAAGCAAAAGTTTGGATTTACTTTTGTTATATTGTACTTACAGATGCTGGTGAGTTCGGAGCATTTTTTCTTTTGCTCTCGAACGTGCAGGCTGAAATTGGTCATCATTGAAACGCAGACGGCCCAACCTAGTTGTCCCATTTTACGAAATTACAATCCACACCATCGAGTCGAAGGATTTCAGAGACACTGTCGAAAAATTGAATGAAGAGCAATCGAGAAGCGATCGATTGGGAAAAATCGCGCTGGACAGGAGGGCGCAAGCGTGAGGGGCTTATCAATCGCCGAAAAAACAAATCATCGCGATATTCTTTTTTCGATTACGAAAAACCCAATAACACTTGGAAATCGAGTCCAAGCGCGTCTGCCGGGCATTTTTGATAAGCGCGTCTGCTAGCCTCGTTTTACGTTTTATTATCCACCCATAAATAGACCATCATTCACGCATTTTTGTTCCCTTTCTGACGATTTTTAACTCTTAATTCTGAGCGAGGTGCATTAACGCAGCAGCGACGCACGGTACACTTAGTAGAGCTCGTCAATGGGTGCCTCGCGCTCGAGCGAAGAGGGAAAATTAGCATTTCCATCGTCTTAATATGCGTTCGCGCGCGCGGAGGAGACGCATAAATTCGCGACGCGAGGCGAGCTGCAGCCTGCACGCAGACTCGGCTATATCGGAATAACATTAACACTTGAGTCTCGTGACGACGACGACGACACGATGACGATGGCCAAAGGTGTTCGCGCGCGAAAAAGTCTGATATATTGCCACGCACGCTTAGGAGACACCACATATACAAACGCACACGCATACACACTTTCACGCAGGTATATATGTGTGCAAAGGTACATGTATATAAGCTCAATTGCTCGCTCGCGCGCGCGGCACGTGGGTTGCGCGGCGAAAGATAGCATCGTTTTCATTCGCGTGTGTCGCTTTTTTCTTCCTTCTCTCCTCTCCTGCTCTCGGCTGATGTGCTCGATAGACTATACAAACGATACATTATAATCATATACACACACGGGCGCGCGGCGAAACGATCGAGGATAGCGCAACGCACGTGCACCGATGTGTATACTTATAAGCGAGTTAATATAATGTTCCCAAAGATAAACACCTCCTTGTCTCTCTCTCTCTCTCTCTCTCCCTCTCATTCTCTCTTATTCTGTCTCTGTATATCTTCACTTGCGTTTAATGCGATATACCTGTGAGCATGCAAATATTTAATGGATTTCGCCTTTGACAATTGACGACGTGTTTTTTTCTTCCTTTTCGGCTGGAGCATTAATGTATGCCACGTAATGTGCACTTGTATGCTAATTAATTACTCTCGCCCTTTGTGCACGCATCGTACTACGTACAACGACGCGCATATATGGGGGCCCTTGAAAGTCATCGCCATAATAATCTTCGTTTGTTCTCGTCTAAGCGTTTAAAAGCAGTTTTAAATCATTTTCTTCGTCGTCGTCGTCGTCGTCGCAGGCGCGCGAGATACTCGCGCCTATTTAAATAAATAATAACGTTGGGATTTACGCTGCGTCGCGCGCGCACGAGTACGGAAATATATACGCGCAACTCGCCTCGATAAGGGATGAAACTTACGGCACCAACGGCCAGTCGGAATAAATCTCCCGGGGCTTTTACACGTGTGCAGCTATATACACGCGTGTATATAGGTTTTTGAAGAGCACAAGTGGCGTATACGTATAAGGCGCGCGTATCACCTTTTAAAAGCAGTTCTCTCTCTCTCTCTCTCTCTCTCTCTCTCTCGCGTATGTATAAACGCACGTACATATATATAAAATAATATACACCGTGTGTCTTCGAGCCGTCGAGATGTGTGTATACGCACATTGCACGCGTCTTTTATAGTCTCGTGCATATAAGCGTATAACATAAGTGATAAGTGCGCACGCCGGAGAGCACCTAAACGTCGTAATTAGCGAATGCTTAAACTTGCATTTCTCGTGTGTATTATATCGTTTATGGGGGGATTTTTATTTGCTCTCTCAGCTCGAGAGACAGAACCGATACATCCGATCGGCCGATGGAAGCTGCAGCAGCCGACGAAAAAAAAAGGTGCTATACGCAAGCGATGCCGATAGTAAACACTGGTTACCCGGGTTATTTACGAGTTTATACCTATGTGCGCGAGGCGTGTTAAACAGTTAGTTTATTTTCAATTCGATAATTAGAAAGCACCTACTGTAGGCAGGCGCGAACATAAGGTAAATAATTATATAGTCTAGAAGGCACATGCCTATACGTGTGTGCCTGTGTGCGCGCGCGTACGCGAGTGCAGCGTGCAGAGGCATAAAAATCCGTCGCTCGATACGTTGCGAGCACTCGGAGCGATCCGCAGCGATGCTTTTATGGCTCAATTTGACATTGTAGCAAAAGAGTATACACATTGCGGACGGATAGTCGTTGGGAGCTCGTAAATTTTTGCCCAGCTCAGCGCGCAAAAATGTCGTTATTCAATGCCTTTTTTTATTCTTTTTTTCATTCTTATTTTTACTCGAGTGCAGTGTCGAGCAGCGTGAATCAGCGCCGTGCCACTGCTCTCGCGAATATTTCTGAGAAAAACCGCGCACCGAACACAATAATTAATGCAAGCTTCGAAGTTGCATTATGTAGTATACACGTATTATTGGCTGCACTGAGAAAAATAATTGTAAATTTGACTAGAGCGTCACAGTAGATTCTACCATAGTAGAAAAGTAGTGTATGTAAACCCTTGAATCGACTTATATTTGCCGCCTAGGCTTACTCCATTTTTTTTCTTTTACTTTCTTGATTGGGATAAATGATTAAATCAAGAAATAATAAATTTGAAAAAATATTTCTACTTTATTTACTTTAACATATTCTTTAGAACACTTTAAATAATTTACAAGGCTACCTACTTATCGTTATAATTTGCTATGAGCGATTCTACGTCAAGCTTGATATCCAAAAAAATCTTGAGAAAAACTTTTAAAAAGAAAACTCAACTTTGAGCATCTGTTGAACCATGAGAAATAGACTTAGAAGGCTCAATTTCTGTCAGTTTCATTTATCTATGCCATTTTTAAGAGTATCTACATAGTTTTATTCCTTTTTTAATTTATCATGCTTGACGAGAAATAACCCTATTACATATACTCTATCTAATCATTTGATTTTTTTTGACAAATTTCTAGATGAAGTTCTATGCTTAATACTAATGCGATTTTTAATGAAATTGACAACAGCTAAAAATAAATTAACTGAATTACATAAGAAAAAGCACAAGAAAAGATTTGCTACGATAAAACAGATAAGTAAAAAAACATATACATCGAGCATTGATAATTGCCACCAAGTCAGCTCTAAAGCAGGAGATTTCAAAGGACCAGCCCCGTAACGAATAACGTACTTGATCCAGTACTCTGCTGTATCCAGTGGACTCATCGGCCTGTCCTTGAATAATCTCGAATTGTATTCTGCTCTTTCTCTAAAAAACAAAACATTGAAATTGATAACCATTAATACTGCTTACTTTTTTTTATTATAATTTGAAAATAAAAATCGTACTTGTAAACTTCATAATTTGTAAACATTTCATTTAAAGCCCAATCTAGAGAACTAGATGTCAAATTGTCAAACTCTATTTTTACAGACATTTTCATTTGAACAAATTTATCCACATTTATCGGTTGATCTCCGAACAGTGGAATACCTATCATTGGCACACCATAATATAAAGCTTCTTGGGACCCCATCAATCCACCATGTGTTATAAATAGCTTGACATTTTTATGCTCTAAATATTTAAAACCAGTTATTGCAATGTAAAAGTAAAAAAAATTAATAATTATGATACATACTTAATACAGCTTGTTGAGGAATCCATGGGGATGTTAATACATTTTCTGGTAGGTTTGGCGGTAATTTTGCTGGGTCAGCTATTTTCAATAACACTCTTTGGTTTAATTTTCTTAATGAATCATAAATTCCGAGAAGCTGATGTTCTGGTAGAGTTTCAATTAATACCATTGATCCAAAAGTAAAATATACAACACCTGATTTACTCTCATCAAGCCATTTTTGTAAATCCTAAAAGAATGAATTTTAGATTTTATTAAAAGTTCTTTTAAAGTAAAATACTAATGTTGAACTTACCGCTGGAAGTTTTGGGTCTTTCTCTATGTGTAAAGCACTGAGTTCTACCAAAGATGGAACCAATGGCTTTACCCCAAATATTACTGGATGCCTATTAACAAAAGTTAAAGCGACATCTTTTTCAATTTCTCTTACATTGGGCATATCAGGGCTCAAATATTTTCTCATTAGCTCCGTTTGGATTTTTTCAGTTTTTGATTGGAAACGATATTTTTGAGAGTGATAATGTAAAAAATTCATCAATCTATCCCAAAACTTAGTTTTGTCAAAATATGTTGAAGAACAGGATGGAACGTAAGCTAAATTATCATCGTTACCGATGAAATCGCTTATCCAAGGAAATTCTATCAATGTTGAAATTCCAACAACTGGTACTTTCAAAAGGCGGCCAAAACCAATGTAACAGCTTGATCCGAACACCTAAAAAAATTAGTTTAATTTGAGTATTAAAACAATTTTTGATTTATTGTTCATCAATTTCAACAGATTTATTATTATACTGTTGATAAGTGTTGGAGGAAACGTTCAACACATTTTTGTGGCAAAAAATTCGTTAATCGATGTTCAACTCGTTTACAACCAACAAAACATGGATTGAACAATTTTTTACATTATTAATAATAATGTTTAACATCAGTGATAAACAATAAGAGACTTACTTCCATAACGACGAGATCATAAAGCTTTTCTTTACTACTTTTGATTTTTTTTATTAACTTTTGAAATTCTGGCAAATTCATGTAGTGGCAAAGATCACTACCATAACGATCTGACACCGCGGTAGTGACGTCTTCAGCTATCGTTTTGGCATAATCAATGTGAAAACTGTTTATTATGGGTGGCTCAGTACCATTCAAATTCACAACGACTTTGTACGTGTCAGGTGGATTTTTTAAAGGATAATGCGTCACAACATCCACTTGGTGTTTACGCTCAGCTAAACCTTTCGCAAATGCAGACAACATATTATCATGACTTTTGGCATGGAATGGAAATATTACCAAAATTCTATAGGCTCTGCTGATTGAAAAATTAATTAATAATACTGTTATAATTATCTTGAAGCCCTTCATTGTTTTTGTTAGAAATTGAAATGAAACAAAATATTCACTACAATATTCACTACAAATAGTCACTGCAGATCACAATTACGATGAATTAAAGAATCAAAGTTATCGCGTGAATGTTTCGAATGCAACTGTCTTGATACTACCTAGTATACGACTTTATAAATGCTTTTTATACGTTCAAACGATTAATAGATAAGGCTTATCTTGGAGCACATGTGAATGATACAAAATTAAAATTTCGGTTAGTATTATGCAGATGTTCTCGTGCGTACTCTAAATAGTATTGATTTTAATCAGACACTTCATTAAAAAATTATATATAAAAAAAAGATTGCATGATGTGGCTTAATAAGATGTCATTTTTCTATTATCAGTTATTTCATTGTTGCAAATTATTGAGTAAACTTTTGCAATAGTGTGATAATTTAAAAGTCTAATATTACAGTAGTACGAATAACATTGATTACAATTGATTTGAAATAATCATAGTTTGAATGCAGCTTATTTTTTCAATGTTGCTAAATATATTCAATATTTTTTACTTATAATGCACACAAATAGTGTCAATAAATAACTTGAAAACTCTCTAAAAATTTTACGACTTAATTCGTTCAAAATCCAACATGTACACATGGACTGCAAAAACTAATTGTAATAAAATTCAAAGAAATCTCAATTAAGTAAATAGTCTTATGAATGTAAAATATTTAGAAATTTGAGACTCCCCACCTCAGGTCCTTTCGGATGTAAACATCAAAGTTCTTATTCTAGTCTTGGATACTGTCAAATTTAAATATCTTACAAATTGACGAGGACGCGGAGATGCTGCACGAGATGGGCATCGTCGACGAGCACGAGAACGCCGAAAAATGCTCGGATTACGATGACGAGACCAACGACGCCCTGCTCAGAGCCGTGCTGGCGAGTTTGAAGCTCAACAACATTGGCAACTACGACCACTAGATGCGGGCGGTCAGGAGGATTTTCAAAGACTTTCAGAGGATTTTCTCAAGTCAATTCTCATTGGGTACGCGACGCACGCGAGTGTGCGAACGAAAGATGCATTCTCTTTATAAAATTCAATTATTTTCCATTTACAGTTCGAGTTGTTGCCCCAAAAAAATTCGCTCATCTGTTATTCTGCCGAGGTCAAATGTTTCACTCTCTCTTAATATTCCTCCTTGATCAATCACGATTGCTTCAATAATTTTGCGCTGGCCATCGGAAAAGGCGGAAAATTGATGGCTTACGCGGTAACTCCGATAAAGAAAAATGAGCAGGTACTCTACCATGACTATGATTACTTTCTTATTTCTCGGTCCTGCAGTCTCGTTCATACACATCGATCGGTGTGACACTTTTTTTTGTTCATAATATTTAGATAACAATTAGCTACTCGCACATGATGAACTTAATCCTGGATGCTCGTACCAGAAGGCTCCACTTAGCCCAGGAGAGAAAGTTTATCTGCCACTGCCGGGGCTGCGTCGACGAGTGGTTGCCCATGAACCCAAGGGTGAGTTGAAAGTCGACGTGGTTCCAGAAGGTTGCGCCACTAAATTTTTTTTTACAACGATTCGACTCGTGCTTTGATTTTTTTACATTCAACCAGTGGCAGACTTTTGCCGAAACATTGCCGCCCAATAATCTTCAAGCCACCTCGATAGACCCCACGTTCAGTGGCAACAATTGGTACTTGACCACGCAGCAAATTATCAATAATAAAATCATTATCGAACTCGTCTATAAACATATGTATGAATCTTCGCCAGCGCCGCGGCCTTTTGCGATACACATCTTTGTAGGAAGTTTATAAATTTGGCTTACTACATGATGTACGGAGTCGAATGGAGAATACCAGAAGAGTGCGATTTTGATTGAGCTTGAAGTGTTAAAAAACAAACAAAGTAACATAATATATACAAGAAATTTTAAATGTATTATGACACGTCTTTGATTTGTATACAACTTTTGTACATTTTAATCATTACAAGTATCATTTTGTAAACTTTAAAGAACTGTATTTTTATTGTTATTATTTGTGGGATTACAACTCTTTCAAATTCATCATCGTTCTACGTTTTCAATTCTTGCAACGCAAGATCTCATGAAGTAAGTACATCCGGGGTTACATAAAACCTCTGATAAGTAGCATTCTAACATCAATTGTATCATCATTTTTTTAAAAAGAGTCGAGCAAAATTTAAATTGGCCTACAAGCGGACTTATGATAATTACTCTCGATGTTTCATTCGCGTTGGAAATATGAGTAAAAAAACTCTCCATTAAATGAATATGTGTACGGGAATCTAATTCGAGTTTGAGCTAGCCAAAAGCGCTGGGCAAAAAGTAGAACGAGGTCTCTGTCGATATCGGCGACGGCGGCGGCAGTGCACAGCGCCAGTGGCAGAGAGTAAGGAAAAGGAGGCTCCCTGTGGAGGCGGTAAAGTATATAATATCGTTTCTCTCTCTCTCTCTCTCTCTTTCTTGGCGCGCGCGCGCGTACCGAGAGAACAGGTTTTCCAGATTAACCTACACGTCGTCGTCGTCGTCGTCGACGTTGTCTCGCGGCTCGATTTTTTTTTCTTTACCTGACAACCTAAGCAATGCAGCTGCCCCTGAGTTAGTCTCTCTCTCTCTCTCTCTCTCTCTCTCTCGATATATATACATGTATAAATATACCTGCAACCGCAGTGGTAGTTGGCGATATTGATAAAAGAATCGATCTACGGCCGTTGTTAGTTTCATTGACCCTTTTTTTATTGACATTGTTTTACTCTACTCGCGGGCGCAGGATGTATACGCGTACGCAACAGGTTGGACGTATAAAATTGCCAAACCAGTTGTTCTCTTGCATATAGGTATATCTTACAGTACGGCGTGCCGCGCAGACCGCAAAAATCTCGGCTTTTGAATTCGCGAACAAAGCCATAGCTGCTGCTCGGCGATCAACCGCTTATATACGTACGCGCGATATATCGTTCACTCGCGCGCACAATTGAGCCCGCCTATAATATAAATATACATAAACGATTATATCGATCGCTTAATTTTACATTTTTGCATACGGGCGTGCGCGTGCGTGTATGGCTCGGGGCAGCTATTGTCACTCCCGCGCCGCACGAACTTGCCACGCAGCTGCGTATTCGTACTTTTATATTTGTACACTGAAATTGAATATAGGAATGCATTCTTTTGTTTTTGGCTAATCAGCGTGATTTGAAATGTTTGTCACTGCTCTATGTGCTCTCGTGGCAATGACGGATTATTCGGCTCGATAAGACCTGTCAAATATGTGTCGCATTTTGATATGGCTGTGTATACCGAATAGAAAGATCAAAAGGTTCTCCGAGAGAGCCGAGATGTAGCACGTCTAATCACCTTCTTCAATACCGATAAAAAGGCGTACTATTTTTTAATTTTTGACCAATTTTTTCTTTATTAATACGCTTAATCTGACAGCTCTCTCAGTTTACACGTGAACTCTGGTAAATAAGCGCAGCAGGTATAAACAGGAAGCGTGCCAGTATAATACCAAAAAAAAACACCTTGTGTACCAAAAAGCTTATCTAAAGGCGGCACTTTTGGCGTCCTTTTTCAAATATAAACCGAAGCGCAGTATAGTGCCGTGCGCAGCGAATTCTGTTACGTAATGTACACGCGGGGCAGTGTGTACAAGCCGCGACGACGGCCATCGCAAGCGACCCGATATATAATGGATTTATGAACCACCGAGTTTTGTCAGTGCATTCCGCGAATAGCACTGTGCAGTGCACGTGCAGATGCAGCGGTGGCGGCGGCGGCAACGGGGAACACACTTTTACGCGAAAATTGCCGCTGCAAAAGCCGACGCGCGCGCGCGTGTGTATACGGGATGCGTAAAAGGAAATCGATGCTTATACGACGCATTTTTTGAGCGCGGACAACATCGCGCGAGATTCACATCGCTTATATACGAACGTATAAAAGAAAACAACAAAGTATCGCTGAATTTTCAATGTCACACAGTCTCTCTCTCGGGAGGATAGCTCGGAGAGCAATGAAATTAATGCGAGCGCGAATATTACTCGAGCGGCAGCAGCGAAAGAAAAAAAAAGGCGACTCATGCGATAGATAAGTGCCTCGGCCTAATGTATAATTGCCGTCGATTTTCATAAATCACCCTACTCTATCCTTCTTCTCTCTCTCGGCGCGCAGCGCAACGTGCTACATAATGCGTGCGACTGCTTTGCATTGAATTCGCACTTGGCTCGGCCCCGACACTGCCTCGGCTCAGGCGCCTATATCTTAGCCCGCAAAGATTAATTTCTCGCGATCCCTCCCACACGTTCCCCACCTATATAGCTCTAGCTCTGGCTCGCTCGCTTGATGCTCCTTTTTTTTTTTTTTTGCTCGCTGCTTCTTTTCCTTGTGCAGCTGTTAAATCGTATATATTATCTCGGGATGAACCTTGCGGCTACGCACAGCTCCGTCGAGCGCGCGCAAGGTTTCATCTCGGAAGCCTCTTTAAATAATTTTTCCATGTCACGCGCAAAGGTATAATATTAATGACCGGCCGCAAATGGAATATTGTATTACCGAGGGCATAAATTATTATGAAGATAAATGCGGACGAATTCGCATGAAAAAGCGGCCCGCTCGGATTGATTATGGAAGGTAAAACAATCGATTAGCGACTAGAAAATGCGACGGAGTTGAGGGTACTGCACCGCACTGCGTTTAACATTGTCGTTGCAACATTTCAATTTTCCACGCTGGGTGCACCCACTACGTAACAAAATATATCGTAAGGTACCCCGCGCTGCCCGGTCGATTATGCGCACTCCGAGACACGCGCGCTCAGGGACAAATTGTCAAAAATTCATTGCGCAGTGGCGACGGCGGCGGCGACCCGTAAGAAGCATATTATAATATTGCATATAGGCTGAATTAATACGTCAACGCGGAGATTATGATTTCGTGTATGTACGGCAGCATCGGAGACACACACACACACATATCGTCGAGGCGAATCTAATCTTATCGGCTCATTATACGCAGCTCCGCGGCGGATCGAAGGAAAGAAAAAGGCATCGATGGTAATAAGGTACGCATACAAGTCTCGAGATTATTATAATCATTAGTTGAGCGGGTGTATATCGCGTTTACAGCAGTGTGTCAGCGTGAGGTATAATATGTAAATACTGTATACGCGCACGGGGATAGCTGGACACGCGGTTAAAACTCAGCAAAGTCGTCAAATTATTATTCATAAATTCCGCAATGAGCAGGAGGCCGCGGAGCAGCGTGAATTTTCCAAAACAGCTTTTCCAACTGCCTGACACATTGTTTATGTTGCTGCACATACGCGAGTGTGCTGCAGCTGGCTAATGAACTCGCGCTCGGCAACGGCTCGTTAAACGGCACCTATGCAAGAAGAAGAAGAAGAAGAAAAGGACGTGCGTGTGCTACTCGAACCTTATAAGATTATCAAGCTGTTATTATACTACGCCACCGTTGCCGGTGTGACTCCCGCTGCTCTACGTACCTGCGCACACATATATAATACCATTTTCCATATAATATACAATATATACGGGGGACGAGGTGTTGCGGAGTGCACCTTATACGAGGGGCGAATTTACGACCGTCCGTGCATAAATTGTTCTTAAAACTCGATGAAAATTTGCATCCGCTGCTGCTCTCGGTGCGCGCATTCCTCGTCGATATTTAACGTATACGCGAAAATTATATATGCGGGTGTAATCAGGCGCGCGTGCGATGTTTACTGCTATATGTATGCTGCACCGCCTGGGTGAAAATATATCCGGAAGCGCAGCAGAGGAGCAGCAGCAGCAGTAGCATCGGAGGAGCTGCAGCTCAAGGAGGGCACACACATACGCGCTGCGCGCACTTATAATTTCACCTCCCGCGGCGAAGGCTATCATCGTGTGTGTGTGTGTGTGTGGAGCAGCGGCAGCCCCCGCGCTCGTAGTATAAGTTGCACCGCGCGGCGCACAAAAAATCATCATCGTGCCGGGAGAAAGATGCAGATCGAGCCGCGCGGTACGTATAATGTCCGAGTCTCGCGCGCTTACGTAAGACTGGGATGTATCACTACTACTTCTACGGCGTTTACCAAGTGCGCCGCGTCCAACTGGTTTAGGCTCGAGCATATATACCTGTGGCGTATAATACGTCAGAGCATCGAGTATAACTAGTTTGCTCTCGCGAGAGCATATTACGCGGTGCAACAGCAGCAGCAGAGGCTTATTTTTTTTACGAGAGAGAGAGAGAGAGAAGACGTTTTGTGACCCATACGCCCATCACGTGGGAAAATCTCCACGTGTTTTTCAAGGCATGGTGACTTTTAAGTACTCGCGGTGGTAATTGCTGCGCCGCTGCTGAGTTGCTAAGGTGTGTGTGCTCGCAGGTACCGTTTTTTCTCTGTTTTTCGGGAAACAAGTGTAATCCCGTCGCGCGTCTTGTGTAATATAAAGGCTCGAAATGAACCCTAAAAAGTCTCTCCGTCGCAATTATACTTTTTCCCCATAGGCCAGGGCGTCTCTCGAATTATAATTCCGCGCGATATCGCGGCGCACTCGCGTATAATAGCACAATCTGTTATTTCGCGTTATACGTACACGTGCTAAAGCAAGAGTTGATATCGATCGGGCCAGCTCCGCTTTATAAATCTCCGAGCTATGTGTGTACTCCTATACTGCACAGCCAAAGGCGCGCACGTATTTATATGTTACATATATATATGAACGCAGAGCAGATGCAATTAACCAATGAGATAAGCGAGCAGCCAGATTTTGTATTTATCAAACTCAC